TACAAGTTCAAGGCCAGCCTGAGCTACATAACAAGTGTAAGGCCAGCAAGGGCTACACAGCAAAACCCTGCCTCAAACAAGCAGTCTAAGGGAGGGAAGGATTTCTTATGAGGGGACAAAAAAATAGGGAAAGATCAATTGTAGTATAATAATCTAATTAATCAATACTCCTCAGAACAATGTTTGGAAAAGGCATTTGCAACATCTATCAAGATTAGGCATATAAAGATTTTATACAAAATATTAAGTTCGATAAAGGGAAACTATTAAGATGCAATGTTTTACCAATTCAAACTGCATGCATATTTCCAAAGCGATTTGTTTTCTTGGACTTTCTAATCCTTTTTATTTTTCTAGGAATCCAGGTGGTGGAAGAACGCACTTGGCTATTGCCACTGTGATCACTCTTTTCCCACTCATTTCATGGGTCTATGTGTACATAAACAAGGAGATGCGCTCCTCCTGGCCAACGCACTGCAAGACAGTCATTTAGATTAATTCAATAATGCTTAAATTAGTATTTTAATATTTTATGCACACTAATGTATAAATAAGCCAGGAAAGAGGACAGTTTCCTGGTTTATTTCAAGAAATCTGAGTGAACACTAGAGATGATTTAAAGTCTTGAGAATTTAACAAGGCACCAGGACAGATAAGAAGCGGGGTCTGATTCTTCAGAGGCCTCTTCTCTGACAGCAGGGGAACAAGCACTGAGCAGAAATTTGAGTTTGAATTCAGCTTTCGCACTATGTAACGGGGGCTGAACTATGAATGTCCTGGTGGATGTTTCCTCCTGATAAAGTAGGATGTCAGAGCTCCTAGGTCACCGCAACCAAACTGATGTGAAGGCACTCTGAGAAGATGGAGTGTGTGCGGATTACAAAGGGCTGATTGTGACTGGAGTGAGAGGGGGCAGAGGCTGGGTAATGTGCTGACACAGAGGTAACTCAAGACTGCAATTCCAAACTAATCCCAGTATACTTACCTGGTTCAGTGACAAGAACTAAGAACTAAGGAAAGCTCTAGAACAGGTGAGCCAAATGATGGGCTTGTCTTGCAACGAAAGTAGAAAACCAGTAGAAATTAAAGAAAGTACAGGAAAGATGAATATGGAATATAGAAAAGATGAATAGGGAATATTAATGATAATTTCTTACTCTCAGTGAAAAATAAGATGGAAATCTATACATTTGTTTAATGAATATTGATATGCTCACACTGAGAGCACCAGAGGGCGACACCATCCAACAGAACATCCAATATGTTGTTATGGAGCACTTAACTTGTGGACAGGGTAACCAAAGAAGTAAATTCTTAACTTTTGTACTTTCAGAAGCAGATGCTCAATTGCCAGAAAAAGTTAAGTGTGCTGAGAATGGCGTGTGTGTGTGTGTGTGTGTGTGTGTGTGTGTGTGTGTGATCTACAGGTGTAGTATTTGCAGGAGTTTAGTGTCAGGTGGATGTGCTTCTGTACAAAACAGTTTAGAGACATAAACACAGAATGCGTTTTATACTGATTGTATGCTGAAAAAATATTTTGAACTAAATTAGGCTAAATAAAATATATTGTATTTACTTTTTAAAGTGTGACTGCTTGAGTGTGTTAGATTATTTAATTAGCTCACATGGCCTGTCGGGTATCTAGATGGGAAGTTTATCTAGGCTGGAATGAAACTCTGTAACCAGATGACTGGTTTGGATGAGAATGGCCCCCACATGCCTGAATGGTCTCCAAGTGGTGACACTGTTTGGGTAGGCTAGAATGTGTGGCCTTGCTGAAGGGAGTAGTCACTGGGAATGAGATTTGAGGTTTCAAAAGACTCAGGCCATTCCCAGTGTCTCTCCCTGCCTCCTCCTTTCATCACAAGATGTAAGCTCTCAGCTGTTCCTGCCACCGTGCCTTCGTTCACCATCACGGACTCTAACCATCTGGAAGTTTTCAACCTGTGGGCTGCAACCCACAGGGGTCACCTGAAACCATCTGCATATCAGATATTTACATTATGTTTCATAACAGTAGCAAAATTACTTATGAAACAGCAACGAAAATAATTTTATGGTTGGGGGTCACCACACCATGAGGAACTGTATTAAAGGGTCACAGCATTAGGGAGATTGAGAACCACTGCTCTGGAACCACAAGTCCCAAATTAAATGCTTTCTTTGGCCCTGGTGTTTTGTCTCAGAAATTGAAAAGTAAGCCAGACAAGATGTCATTCAGGAGACTTAAGAAATGCTTCTTTTAAGTAGAATTAGTACCTATCATGCCAAAGAAATGGAAATGAGTCTTATATTCTATTTTATACCCTACAATGCAGCAGAACTCTGTAAATACTAAAGAGATATTTATTTTTGATATCAAGGAAAAAATAAAATTTATATTAAAGCAAGTACAGTGCAGTTGGAGTCAATAAAATAAAATGTCAAAGATTTGGAGTTTCCTCGTGTCCCTTTAGCCTACATGCTCTTTATCACTTTCATATCTTCTTTAGAACTAGTTGTAGTAAACTCAGTCCACTTGGAAATTCAACATAGGCAGTATTGATCCTCCAAATAGGCTTGACTTCTGTGTAAATGACTCACATGTTCAAAGCATGTATTATTTCCCTCTATCAGACTAGTATGGCTGTAAATATTCATGGTACCTTTTGCACCCTCAGAGAAGCATGGAAGACACTAACTTTTTGTCTGTACTTGTCTTTGGCCCTTACCAATGGAATAATTTTTATTTATTTTTTTAGGCAGGGTCTATGTAGTTCAGGCTAGCCAACATGCCAGGCTAAACTCTCTCTTCTTTCAGCATTTATGGTTTTATTTCAGTATGAAAAAGATGTACATGTGAACTGTCAGTTCATTTTCTTTGCTGTGCAGCCAGCCCGATGTTGGGTTTGGTGACTTTGCTGGCCAGCTAGGGTTGCTCTCTGCATGAGGATCTGTGGCTGTTGGAGGCAAGACTAAATGATCTCAACACAATGAGACTTCCTGTTTGTCAGGGGCACTTCCAGACCAGGGACTTCCCAAAGTCACGAGGCAGTGTTGTTTTCTTGTCCTTCCCATAACCAATACTGAGCATCAGACTTTGGCCTGGAATCATCTCCGCACCTCAATACTGCTGGATTTCTGCTAGTTATACTTAGTTTTGGCCTACTGGTCTGATGGTACAGGATACCCCTTGGCCTTCACCAGAAGGAAAAGGCCAGCCAGGACACTGAGATGGCAGACACTGGCAGATGCGGTGCTCTGGAGGGGTGAAGACCACACTCTATTTTTCTATTGGATTTAAGAATCAATAGCAGATGTAACACTGCAGTTCTCAGAATGTGTTCTCCCGTTTCCTATGCCTGCCCATCAGTTTGCTCTCTAGACACACATCCACAGCTCGGAAACCAAGAGTTCCTCTTAGGCTTTAACTCTTTACCCCTCGCTCACTGATCTTCCCCACCCATCTAAACCACTCTTCTTCTTTTTTTTTTTTTTAAGATTGATTTATTATGTATACAATGTTCTGCCTGCATGTATCCCTGAAGGCCAGAAGAGGGTACCAAATCTCATTATAGATGGTTGTGAGCCACCAAGTGCTTGCTGGGAATTGAACTCAGAACCTCTGGAAGAGCAGCCAGTGCTCTTAACCTCTGAGCCATCTCTCCAGTCCTCTTCTTCTTTTTTCATGGCATCCTAAATCTCTTCAAATGAAATTCAAGTTTCTCTTCCACATTCTTTGTCCTTTTATATGTGGTGGGCAATTTCTCACATTTGTACTTGTGTTTTGTCTCTTTCCATCCTGGTGACATCAGGGTACACAGAAACATATGACAGTCGTGCTGTGGCCAGCTGGGTAGTCACAATCCCTGTTACCTTAAACTGTGAGATGAATTTTGCACATGAGATCAAGAGTCTTGACATGGACAGGTGCTTGGACTATCCAGAGGGCCAAGCAAATGCCCACGTGCATCTTGAGAGGCTGGAAAAGCAAGAAAGAGGATTCTGTCCAGAGTTTCCCACTGGACTGTGGCCACACCCACTTTGTTTTCAGCCTGGTGAAATGATTTCAGAATCCTGACCTTTAGAACAAGCAGAGAACAAACACATGTAGGGAGTGGCCACATACTCAAGAATTCACTGGAGCAGTCACAGAAAATGAACGGGCCTGTTTTCTGGTAGGCACTTCACGGGTACTTATGGTGACCAGTATTTCGGTCTTTCAGCCCTGACTCAAACTCTACTCTTCAATGGTCTGTTTGCTGTCAAGATTTTCTGCAGATAAGCCTTGACACAAACAGCAGTGGGGTTAAATGGGCTCCATGTGTCTAGAGAGGAAATCAAAAATAAATCATTTTCTACACAGTGGCCCCACAGAGTACTAGGCATTTCAGAGAGACCCGACGAGCCAGCACTCAGCATTTGGTCCTGGTGTCACTTGGCACGTCCCCGCAGGCCCTTCTGAGATGGAAGGAAGCACCACGATTTCACCTGAATTAATCGCTCAGTTTTTCTTCACAGAACAGGATTATCACCTTTATCTAAGTGCGGGTACTCTGAACCAAAATGGGGGAAGCCTGCTCACACAGCGGGTAAGCAGGACAGACTTGCCTGGGCTTCCATGTATTAAGCTCTAGAGTCAACACAAGAGCACATTCTCCTTGTAAAAAAAGAAGAAATTCAAATTAGGATAAGTACAGTCCCTTATCAGACTACATGCCCACGAGTCTCCTTCCTGGTTTATTTTACTTTCCAGCTGCCAGTACTTGGATATATTATCCAAAAATAGTACTTCTGAATTTTATCTTCACTTACACATACTGAAGCCACAAAGCCACTTTGTATACAAGCAGAATACTTAATGAGATTGAGAATTTAACTTTTTTCCCCCCAAGACAGGGTTTCTCTGTGTGGCCCTGGCTGTCCTGGAACTCACTCTTGTAGACCAGGCTGGCCTCAAACTCAGAGATTTGCCTGTCTCTGCCTCCCAAGTGCTGAGATTAAAGGCATGAACCACCACGCCCAGTGAGAATTCAACTTTATATGCAATAGAGTAAAACATAAAACAATACCATTCTTTTTCTACAAAGATAGACAAGATAATGAGACTAAAAACACAAAGCTTATTCCCTTCTGTAATTCATAATTCTGTCTGGAACTCTGCCTCTCCCTTTCAGTATCATTTTGTCAGGGTAGACATGAACTGTGCCGAAGGCCTGGCTATCCGGAGCTGTTTCAATAACTCCTTCAAGGTTGACATGGTGTATACCAAAAGGATCCTCAGAGTAGCCACCGTCATGTGTGTGACCAGCAAGGAAACACACCACACACTTGTGAGACCATGTGATTGACAGGGCATCCATGTAGTTCCAAGCCAAGCACACGCTGTCAGAGGCCTCTGGGTAAATGGGAAGATGGCCTGTTAAAGAAAAATTAGGAGCCAATTAAATCATTTTCCATCAAGAAAAGACTGAAAGCTACTATTCAGGAAAACCAAACCTAAGTATAATGCTTCTTCATCAACATGAAGACCAAGGTGGCAATGTGCTCTGTAATTTTAGCACTTGGAAGCTGCAGGAGGATTATGAGTTCAAAGCCAGACTGAGCTACTGAGCGGGCAATCTATAGCCTCATTTCTGATGCACAGAATGGACAGACAGGTAGCTGGTTCAGATATAAAGTGGAAGACATATTTGTATAGAAAAATGATGTCCGAGGCCTTCCGAATTCCAAGAACATCCTGTGCCGGGCATCTATAAAGGCAGCCAGGAGTCAGCCAGATTCTTCACTGAAATCCAATCTCACTGATCTCCATAAATAGGAATGTTACATATAACGAATGATGTAGCTAAAAAACAGCTTAGGAGCTGCCCAGGGGTTTTGGTATATATATATATATATATAAATGTCACTGAACAGAAACAGTTTAGAAGACTTTAAAGAACCTCTGGAGATCAAGGCTGCCAGATTCAATTTGCAGCTGAGGAAACTGATTAAAGCTGGGAAAGTTGACCTGGGGCCCAGGGGAAATCCACAGGCACTGGGGACTTCCGATCTGCAGAGCCAACACATTGGTTAGTCTGAGAGCATGCATCAGGGCAGAGTTTCACTCTGAAGGGAGGCAACACAGCTCACCAATCCCGGCTTCTTCCCAGTCACTTAGTTCTGCTCTGCTCCCGTTCATGTATTCTTACATTTAAACAAGTTCCGTTTTCTACCTACCTGTTTATAAGCAAGTGAGAAAGGGAGTGGGTAAGAGATCCCTAAAGCAGGAGGAGATATATGTGTGTGTCCTTCCCTTCTTCCTCCCTCTGACCCAAGAGGCTATAATAAGGCTAAGAGAGGCTAAGAGGACAGGCAAATTGCAGCAGTCATGATCCTGTTCCATCCTCTTCACAGACAGAAACACATTTATATTATCAACCACCTGAACAGCCTATCCTTTTCAAAGGATTTTCATTAATGATTTCATGTGTTACAAAGCTGAGAAAATTGTAGTTGACAGGTCTTGTTTGTCAACACTGCAATGTTCATACCACCAAGAGGCAGCCAGCATCCCACCATCATGTGCATGCAGGCACACCTTCCAAATTGCCTACTGTCTTGGATGGCAGTGTCTCCCAAAACTGGTTATAAATGAAAATAACAGGGAACTAACGCCTGTGCAACTGTGGGATTGACGGAGAACTTCAAGAGCTTGCCTGTCACATCTCATACTAATTTTGCTTCAGCTGGGCAACAGTTACCCAATGGTAGCAATTTCACTGCCAGCCAGGGCTCCTAAGGCTAAGACTTGGTGGGGCCTGAAAAGAATTCCTCAGTTAAAATTAGTACATAATTTGATCCCAGTTGGGAAAAGTCCACTTTGAAACCTACAAGGGAAACTCAAGAGACACTAACAAAACAGATGGCAAAATGTTTTTGTTATTTTACAATTCTTTTCTGATTCCTTCTTAAATGTTAAGACTTACGTTATATTTCAGTGAAAACTATTAAGTAAGACTGGAAGGATGGCTCAGCAGTTAAGAGCACTGGCTGCTCTTCCAGAGGACCTGGATTCAATGCCCAGCACCCACATGTCAGCTCACAACTGGCTGTAATTCCAGAAGAGATATGACACCCTCTTCTGGCCTTCTCGGGTACTGCAAACACACGGTACACAAAGATACATCCAGACAAACATTCATACATTAAATAAAATTATTTTAAAATTGCAAAAAAAATGTAGTTAAAGTATTTGTTTTATAGAAAGAGGGTATCAAAATACAAATATTACTATTCTTTCATGGATAACTTCCCAATTTCTAAAATGTCAGTGTAACCAAAGAAACAATGTACATACTTACTCACAATCACCACCTTTTCCTGGTTCAGGTCTGAGAATGTAAGAACTTCATTCAACCAGTTCAGCTGTTCTTGGCTGAATCCTCCATTAAACTGGACATACTGGGGCTCAGAAAGTCCTGAATGAATTCAGCAAATTAGACCCGTGGCATGTCATTTTCTCCCTCATTTGGACATTCAAGTTTGGTTAACAAAGAACATGTTCTTTAGGGATATCTGATAATCATCTTAAGAATGTAGAGCAATATATAAACACAGCAATGGGGATTCTAGTCTTGGTCTCCTCTGCTTACTACACTGGCTTCCCACTACACTGAAAATAGAACCCCCTTATTATGTCCTCTGAGCCCTACTACACAGCCTTATACTTGTCACCTTCACCCCAGTGAAGCCTGTGCTACTTAATAATGCCAAAGTCTGATGCAACTTAGTGCCCTTGCACTTGTGTCTCCCTGTGCCTGCCAGCTCCCCACCTCACTCTAAGTGTTAATCCAGTCATCTAGACAACAGCTTAAAAACTTGAGTCCATGGAAAGTCTATTCACCTAATCTAAAACAGCATCCCTAGTTCTTCGCTGTAACACACTCTATTTTCTCAGCACAGTTATCACTGAGAAGATAATCTTGCTTTTGTTTCATCTCCTGCTAGAGTCTGGATCTGAAATGTTCAATAAAGCTCATGTGCTGAAGACTTGGTCACCAACTGAGGTGTTAGCATCTTTTAGAGGTAGGAGCTAGTGAGGGAAGTCAAGTCACAAGGGAGACTACAAGCTCAGGCCCTCTTTCCCGGCTTTGCTTCCTGGCTATGAGTAAGCAGCTTGCTCTAGTATGTATTCCCTGTCATAGCATGCTGCTTCATCACAGGCCCAAATGCAACCAGGCCAAGGGACTATGAACTAAACCACCTCCCCCGCACCCTCCACCCCAAACCATAAGCCAAGAGACCTTTCCTCCTCGCAAGTTGATTATTTTAGGTACTGATCAGTGATGGAAAGCTAACAAATATATTTATTATCTGCTCTACCTACCTACTGCTATGGTTCTCTCCATATATATGTGCAGTGATTATGATGGGTACTCAATCTGTTAAATGTCTGAAGTTTAAATTACTTATAATTTATGTGACATCAAGCTTGTAAGAATCCTGACCCTGAACAACAGTGACAATAAATTTTACCTTAATCATCCATCTTCCTGCTGAATAAAAGGTAGCTGAAGAATTTAAAGACAATGTATTAGATTCTCAGCTCAAAGCAATAATTCACCTTGGGGACTATTTAACTCCACATTTGGATTGTGCTCCCTCAGCATCTTCATACACTGCTCATATTTTGGAGAAGATTGATCTATGCCCAAGACACTCAGGTCATAAGCATCAAGTAAAACAAACCGGAATTTAGGGAATGGTACAAAGTGATAAGCATAATAGTTCTCCGATGGCGTGGTCTCGGGATGCTGTACAATTCGGTCTTCTAGAAACTTGCTGTTAAGTTTCGAGTTTGCTAAGAAGTCTCTATTGAAGTTATAGAATTCATGATTTCCCCATGTGTGGTGAACTGGGACTTTAAGCATTTTGAATGTGTCCATGACAAGTTCTAGAGATTTTTCTGAGACTTTATACTGTGCGTTGTAGCCATCGATGATGTCTCCAAGCTGGAGGACACAGGAGGGCGGCCTGCGTTCTTTATTCCAGTCTTCAATGGCACCCTGTAAGTGAACAAGACTGTGCCGGTAGTACCTCCGCCTGCTTCTTTGATAATTGAATCCATCTTCTAAGTCAGCATACTGAATATCTGCTATAACTCCAAAGGAAAAAAGGGGCTCTGAACCATCAGCCAGGGCATCGGGGTCCAGCTCATCAGCCATTACCTCCAAGCAGGCTTCTAAATAAGCTAACGAGAGGGAAAAGATACCCAAGTTAAAATACTGCAGCTTTCCAGTGGGTAGAAGAAAATGACAAAACGGCTAATTGACTAGACAGCAAGGCAGACGGACAAGTGCGTGGGCTCTAGAGGTCAATGTCTTATCTCTAAAATGCTTCAGTTCTCATCCATAACAAAGGTGATAAACTCTGTCACTCAGAAGACTAACAATTTCCTAAAGGGTACTATCATATTAACCATCAGTAATTCCAACTACAACAGCCAAGTTCAAATCTGGAATCATTTCTCACTTTCTACCCATTTAAAACATGATGATATTGCTGCAGAATATTATTTTAAGGTGTATTACTTTTGTTTATGTTGTATTTGTGAAGCTGTGTTACTGTGCCTGTCTAAAACACCTGACTGGTCTAATAAAGAACTGAATGGCTAATAGCAAGGCAGGAGAAAGGATAGGCAGGGCTGGCAGGCAGAGAAGATAAATAGGAGAAATCTGGGAGGAGGGAGAAGAAAGAAGTAGCCAGAGAAGGAGGAGGACTCCAGGGGCCAGCCCCCCAGCTACATGCAAGCCATGGAGTAAGCCATGGAGTAAGATTTACAGAAGTAAGAGAATGGAAAGGCCCAGAGGCAAAAGGTGGATGGGATAAATTAAGTTAAAGAAAACTGGCAAGAAATAAGCCAAGTTAAGGTTGGGCATTCATAAATAATAATAAGACTCTGTGTATGATTTATTTTGGAGATGGGTGGTGGGCCCCCCAAAAAAGTGAAAAACAAACACCATGATAGTACATCCTCTCCTGAGTCAAACAATTCCACCAGAACCTCACCCGTCACACTGTACCATCACACTCACACTCACCCACTCTACTTTCCATAGCAGACCTCCACTCTGGGGTACTCAAGCAGGCCCAGTCTTTTCTCTTTGTTGATGAGCAGCCTGCAGAAATCAGTCTGTCCCTTTTTTGTATCTGAAGTATTAAGGAAAGACAGTGATATGGAGACAGAAGGAGACAGTTTAATGAGGAATGTCCCTGGAGGCTCAGGAATTTGGTGTCCCAACCCCCGTTGGAGGCATAAATGGGGAAGTGCAGCCTTACTGGAATAAGTAAGCCACTGAGGGTGGGCTTTTAGAGTTTAAAGCCCATCCCCACTTGCAGTTAACTCTCTGGTTCATGATGCTATTAAAGATGTGATCTCTTAACTTTCTGCTGGGCCACCATGCCTGCCTGCTACTACATGTTCACGGGGCAAGGGAAAGGGGTGTTAGAGATAGGGTCTCTATGTAGCCCTGGCTACCCTGGAACTCCTTGTGTAGATCAGGCTGGCCTAGATCTCATACAGATCTGTCTGCCTTTATCTTCTGGGACTAAAGGCATGTGCTACCTCACCCAGATACAAAAGATTCTTATACCTCTGAACTATAAGCCAAAATAAATTCTTCCTTAAGTTATTTTTGACTTTAAAAAAAAAAAAAAAAACCACAACGGAAAAGTAACTAATACCACGAAGAATAATTTTAAATTTAAAAAAGCCAGTGCAGGAGAGATAATCAGTGGTTTATAGAGCTTCTTCCAGGGTACCAGAATTCCTAGTACCCATGTCAGAAAGCTCACACTACCTGTAACTCCAGATACAAGGGATCTAATATCCTCTTCTGATCTCCTAGGGCTCTCATATATATGTGTAAATAATCACACAGAAATAAATAAATAAAAATACAAACACTATGACATCAATGTCATAATTGTCCTTTCCATGAGCAGCAGGTGTTGTAGAATATTATTTTAAGATGTGTTACATTTGTTTATGCTGTGAAACATTTAATGATGCAAAGATGTGTTGCATTCTTTTATGTTGCATTTGTTTAACTCTGTGAAGCTGTGTTACTGTGCCTGTCTAAAATAGCTGATGGTCTAATAAAGAGCTGAATGGCCAACAGCAAGGCAGGAGAAAGGATAGGAGGGGCTGGCAGGCAGAAAGAATAAATAGAAGGAGGAGAGGAATGAGAAAAGAAGGAGGAGGACATCAGGGGCCAGCCACCAGGCTACACAGCAGGCCATGGAGTAAGAAATAACGAAAGGTATATAGAAATAGAGGAAGGTAAAAAGCACAAAGGCAAAAGGTAGATGGGCTAATTTAAGTTAAGAAAAGCTGGCAAGAAACAAGCCAAGCTAAGGCTAAGTATTAATAAGTAATAATAAGCCTCTATGTGTTTGGGAGCTGGGTGGCAGGCCCCTAAAGGAGTAAAGAGAAAAAAAAAAAAAAACTAACTACAAGCAGGTCCTGCTTCAACAGCTGAATTCTAATTTGAACCAGTTTTCCTAATCTTAGAATCCCCTGTCCCTGAACCAGAACAGAAAACAAATCTTTTCATTCCATACATAATCTCTATTGAACTTGGGAGAAGACTCTCATTAGGTTATTTATAAACAGAATTTGTAACTCTAAAAGAAGCAAGAATACTAAGGAGTATGATGAACATAAAAGGCCAAGGTGTTAAATTACCAACTATTTATTATGGGAAAAAAAAACCCACTGGAGTTCTATGTGAACTGATTAAAATCTTGTAAAACCTCCTCTGACTTTCTATAACCCTCCTGACTCCTGCTGTCTAGCTCCAGAGTTCCTGTCTAATCCCAGTTCAAGTGTCCTCCTAGCAGAGGCTCCAACATACTCAGCACAGGTGCAGACCTCAGCTGGACGGAGGATGGGGCTCTCCTCATTCTGAAGCCACTGTCACCGGATGCCTCACTCGGTAAAGGTGCTTGCTAACTGCCAAGGCTAATGAGCTGAGTTCAATTCCTAAGACCCACATGGTGCGTACAATGAACCCCAGCCCCCCAGTTGTCCTTTGACCTTCCCACGTGTACTGTGGCACACATGTAACCACGATCATATGTCCACGCAAATATTTTCTTTCTTCTTTAATTTTTTAAAGACTGTTTTTGTTAGAGCATTTTTAAAATTTGTTCTCTTCTCCCATAGTCTCCCCTTGAAAGCCCTACTAGACATCAAGTCTAAATATGTGTGATGTGGCAGTAGTTTCTTAACCCTCCTGTAGACTAAAGACACTTTTACTGGAAAGCTGGAAAACTCAAATAAAATTACAAGAGAACTGGATTTCATCTAACTTAGCTGAAAATCTCTGATCTAATTAGTTTCAGGTATTTGTGACTCCAAGTACAGCTGAATACGATTACAGCAAAGGCCATGCGGCAACAAGTCTGTCCCATGAGCATCATCCCCAAAGCTCAAGACAAAACTGACCCGAGAATGCCCTTCTGGCTATGCCAGATGAAGCCATTTGCTTTGATATTTAAACCCGTAAACTTTAGGTGACAGTAAGTTCTGTGGACCTCTTAAAGAAGGTTTAGTCCCAATTGTGGTAGAACATTCTTTGTAGACTGTAAATATATATTGTGCTCATTGTTAGTAAAAAACTGATTGGCTGATGGCTAGGCAGGATTTGGGGGGGCAGAGAGAATGCTGGGAAGAAGGGCGGAGTCAGAAGAGTTGTCAGACAGAAAGGAAGCAAGATATGGAGGAGAGGTAAAAGACACGAGCCTTGGGGCTGCACATAGATGAATAGAAATGGGTTAATTTAAGTTGTAAGAGCTAGTTAGTAATAAGCCTGAGCTATCAGCTGAGCATTTATAATTAATAATAACTCGCTGAGTAGTTATTTGGGAAGCAGCTGGTGGAACAGAGCTGATCTTGGAAAACTCCGCCTACACCCAATGATCTGATCTTCTCTCCAGGAAGCAGATGTTATTTTTGCTCACTTAACCGTCATTTCCTGTTGTTTGTGTAACAACATCCCCATTTCCTTTCATGCCAATTTCCCTTCAAAGGCCATATTTTGTGACCTCCCAATTTGGGCTGACCACCTAGGGGTAGGTGCGCACCCCAAGCTGGGTCAATAAACTTCAGCTTAGTAACATCTGCCTGGAGCTTGAGCACAGCTGTTGCAGCCACTAAGCTGAAAGCTACAAATGAAATGACTAAGATAACACTGTCTTGTCCTGATCCATTTCCTATCTGTTTAGGCACTCTTCAACTCACCCCCCCTCAACAGGCACATCTACCTTGGCAACGCATGTGGGGTTTCCATGACCCTGACCATGGCCCAGATGTATTTACCAAAATAATTAATGTTTATACAAACTAAAGATATGCTTCAATAACTGATAAAGGTATAAATCAAAATTAATTGCCATGCTGTGACTGAAACAACTATTATGTTTTGCTGGCACGGATGTTGCAAGGTTACCTTGACCCTTATCAAAGAATGATGTACTTCTGGTCAGTGTGGTCTTTTGCTTTAAAAATGCTGTATTCTGGGGCTTTGTGTCCTTGAGGTGCTAACCCACTCTTGGTCAAGGCCAAAAGTAAAGGACTCCAATTTGGCTTTCCATGTGTGGTGGTCTGTAACTTTCTCATCCATACTATAACACAACTTGAGTTTCAGGGGAAACTCCTCACCGGCTACCCTGAGTTCTAAGGGTATTTCTAAGAGCAGCCTCTCTCCTCAACTGATGTGAGCTGACTGGCAGAAAAACAGAGCCTCTGAAGAGACAATGCTGGTGCCAATTCCCAGCAAGTCTTAGGTGAGCTCTGACTTTCAAAGAAAAAGACTGACCACAGGGGATAATTACACATCATCTCAGTGTAACTACTTATACCTCTTAAAAGCCTCAACACCTAACTGTCTGCCCTCTCACCCCTCATATAAATCAATTTCCTTCTACTAATTTCTGTCTCCTGGTTTTTACCAGTAGACCTGAAACCAACAGAAACTTCAGATTTCAGTGACAATGATGATGGCATTTGCAATATGTCTTCGGAGATCTTTTTCTTGTGTAAGACACAGATCAATGGCCAGTTCATCTCTAGAGACATCACAGTATCACCTAGCACCTGTAGGTATTTTTTAACTTGTGACTTGTGGAAAGAAGGGGATAAAGGAGGTGGGGGGAGGGGTCATGGTTCACACACCACTAACAAGATCAAGACTACTTTCACTGGGTAACTAGTAATAGGTGAAGGCCTGAGAACCTGTCTCTTATCTTCATGAGGATCTCTGCGACACCTCACTGTGACATGTTAGGGAAAAATAAGAGTCCCAGGGAAGGAACAGGCTATAATCAGGGACGGATGGTTAGGATCACAATGAGTAAGAGTGGGCAAAGAGAACCAAGCAGGCAGAGAAATTACTCTTTGCTAGTTCTGGGCTGCACTTTATGGTTTGGGGAAATAGATGCAGGAGGGCTTGAGAGACTGGCCCTTGTGGACAGAGATCAGAAACTCACATCCATCTCCAGCGGGGAAATGGAGACTAGGCAGCCAACTGACAGGAACACCCGTCTCCACAAAATACCCCCCC